TAGCAACTACTTTAAAAAACACCACAGCTACCACAGAAAAACTCCTTAGTAACCCAGTAAAAACTCCACAGCAGCCACCTGGAAGAACCTTGGAAACACTTAGATACCACAAATAAACAACTTAAGAATCACTTAATAACCAGTAGGGTTTACTGGATTCAGTCTGGGGCAGCAAACCTTTTTGAGTAACCTCTCAGCATCTAAAATCACGGCTTTAAATTCAAGTATCTCTAAAGATGCTTCCTTTTTTATTTTTATTGTGAATATGGGCGTAGGAGCTGCAGACATATACTGAGGCATGGCATCAGACTATAACATCCCAGGTAGCCTCTGAAAAGCTTGAAAAAACAAAAACTGCTTAGAGAGCATCAGGATTCTCATGGTTCAACGTCTCTGTATGTTCGAGCGTGATCGGGGCGCTGTCTGATGGCTGACACAGGCCGGTGGTGTAAACCTGAGGAGGGAAACGTGTTGCCGTCTCATAGCAGATGAATATTCAAACGCATCTGCTGTCACTGCAACCTTTTTCCTCTGTCAGTTACTGTACAACAAAGCTGCAGGGTGGAGTTTGACGTGACGGGAGCCTCGCACTCGAGAGTCCCTCCACCAGCGTTTGCCCCACTAATCCCGACATTTACTGCAGCGAGAACCTGTCAGACTCGCACCTCAACAGCTCTCCAGGAATAAAGTGACGGGGCAGGTAAAGAAGACGGCATGCTGAATTATTAAAAACCTAATAATAAAAAAAAAATCTCCTGTAGGACATTTACGATTCATGACAAGCATAGGCAAGATTATCTCAAAAGAGGGCAAATTTAGAGTTGGAAATAACGCACAAGTTAATCCAGTTCAACGGCAAATACCACTATGATAATAAGAAGTCGTGAGTCCTGACAATCCATCGGTTTAAAGGGGAGATATCTCTGAATCAAACTGCTCAGAATGTCTAAAATCCCAGAACATCTCTTTAGTGATCCCCATGAGACGGTATATACACTGCATTTAAATTGGAAAAACATTACAACCTGGACTTTATCATTAAATATTTAAAAAATCTTTGGGATCCAATCTGTTCCCGTTTCCCCAGCAGAGACTTAAAGCACCACCTGTCTGTCAAACCGCCCCAGAATGTGGTTTAATGTCATGCTGTCCATCATTTCCTCAGAGTAGGCGGCACTTTTGTCACAACGGTGGATTTCCTATTTTTGAAACAAAACTCTCTATATGTATGTGTCTGTCAGAGCAGACAGCACAACAAAAGGCTTTCACTGGAGGATATGGCAGAAAATCCAGGCGTTATATACAATTCATCATTAAATACACCGCTTTAATAGCACATACCGCACATGGACAGATAAGGGGGACTGTATAGACATTTTCAGACATGGCACACATAACACTGCTGCTTCATCGGTCTGTTTAAGTGACTACATTCAATAACTAATGTTGTGCAGATAGAGCCCGTCCCAAACTGACCTGTCTCAATGTTGGTGATATTTTAGGTATTTAAACAGGTTATAGGCACAGTTTCATTGTTCCATGTGCACAAATGCATCTAACTTTTTTGCTTTGAAGACGTTCATATGGATCCTGCTGCTGTCTGATACTGCATTTATTTAATCAACTTAGAGGAAAGACTCCTACAAACAGCTGGAAGCAACAAACTAAACTTCACAATGTTTTGTGGGGAAAAAATGGTGAGTATCTTAAGTTTAAGCTATGGTATTATGGATATTTCAGTTTGCAGCCTAAGAGATGTGACGATTTAGAGCAAACTGAAAGAGAAATGTGTGCTTTTGCTCTCTGTCCAACTCCAAATACACTGCTTGGGCGTAACTATCTGTTTGATTGACCAAGGTTGAGATTGAAGCTGCCACGTCCAGTTGCCATCAGATTAACAAAAAGGGGCTTTCTGTCTGAAAGGGGTCAAACTATTCACATCACTCACCTTGATTTTGGCTATCAGGGCGTTGATGGCGGCCTCCAGCTCCTGGACCTGCTTGCTCATCTCCTTCTTGCCCTCCTTCAGCCCGGCCACCACCTCGTTGAAGCGGTCCATCCTCTTCTGCAGGTGACGCACTTTGACAAGACCATCGATCCTAAAAGACAAAACACAGAAACTTCATCAAAGACTGCGACTGACTTAAGACACACGAAGAGAACTGAAGAAATCAAAACAGTTCCTGCTGCCCTTCACTGGCTACTCGTGAGTTTGAAAGCTTGTATCTGCAATCTGCTGACTCCTTCTGAGGGTGATCGCTGCTTGAGATCTTCTGTCAGGGTCTTACTAACGGTTCCTAATTCTTGTCTTGTCATCTGAGCTGATCGAGCCTTTGCTGTTGAGGCCGTTCAGCTCCTTGTCTGAACATCTCAGACAGACAAACTCAGTATCAACTTTAAAATCTCTTCCTAACACGTATTTATATCACTTACCTTATTCCTAATGGATGGCAATCGCTGTGCTTATTTAAAATGATTTCATCTTGTTTATATCTTGAATTCTTTGTTACTTTTATTTTAGGTTTTAATTATGAAGCACTTTGTAACTTTGCTTTTTTGAAAGAAGCTACATAAATAAACTCTAATTTTATTGGGTAATCACGACCGATTCATTCTGCTGATGAGCTGATTTTAATTGCTTTATTGGATGCTTGTGAAAGTCTTATCCTAAGTTCTAATACATCACAACTTCTTTCTTGATTAAATCTTGAATTATTAATGTGAGTCTGCACAATAATTAGCACCTTAACTTCAAATCATAATCAAAAATAAATAAATAAATGATGACGAACACCAATATTGGTCTTTGAAATGTAGGAGTGGAAGAATAAAGCAGCAGAAAAGTATCTCAAAATCATACTGAACTATAGTAATTGAGTGAATGGAGTTAGTTTCTCTCTATTAGGACACATGTTTTTGCCTCGAGTACATAGTTTTTTATATGTATTTTCTTTAACAGGACCCTATGTTTTCATAAACTGTCACACAACCATTACTCCCACATTGATCCCTCTTGCACTGATTGTACTTTAAGGCATTTGCTTGCGTACACCATCATATCTTTTGTTTTCTCTATTTCCGATACTTGTCAGGATATGTTTTTCTTCTTTCGTGAACTGTATATGGTCTGCACCGCCCTGATCAGGCTCTCCTTGAGGGTTATTCTGAGCCTCTCCATCACTGCAGACAGTCTTGTTAGCTCCATTTCTCAGAGGTGTAATCTTTATGTCTTGTCCTCCATCAGTGGAAACGTGACTGTTGTTAATATTTTGATTCAGGTGTGAGAGTTTTATGACCGTCCGAGTACTTCAGCTATGCGTCATGTAACGCTGTCTGTGAGGAAAATTAATGGGACTCTATTAGATCCTGTGTCTGACCCACATCTTTTGGACTGGATGTTCCAGGTTTGTAAAGCAGCCTTTCTACAGCCTCAAAGCACATACCAAGATAACCAGGTTTTCTCACTTCATAAAAGCTTCCTCGGGAGCCACAGAAGACATTAAATAAGTTTTTTTTCACAGACTGAATAGAATTCTCCATGACCTGTAAACTAATCATGATGTGTAAAATTAGCAGGCGACCATTTAACCTCATTATAAGCTGGTGTTGAGCAGCTACATTGATTTAGAAGCAAGCCGCGATCTGAAGGACTTTTTATAAGGTACTAATCAGACATGTACAAGCCTTTAGATAAGACATATGTTAATGGTAAGCTTATCGTCCATACAGATGTGAAAAAAAAAATCCACATATATTCATGCATAGTTCATTAGTTCCAAAGATGATAATAAATGGCATTTAACACTGTAAGATTATCGACTACTGCATGAATTAGGCCGACTTTATTAGTTCAATGGAGTTTTTTTTTGAAGTCCCCAAAACTGGTGATACTATTACTGGTAATGCCACGTGATGCAACTTAAACTTTAACCCGACATTACCACAGTAGTTACATTTGTTTTTGTTATTATTATTATTTGTAGTAGTACTAGTAGCAATTTATTTTATATATATATATATTTTTTTTGTTGTTGTTACAAATATTCATATATATGTTTTTATGTTCTTTACATTTCTTATTTTTTATTCTCTTTGCCATCTGATCAGCTCAAATAGCAAAGAGAAATAAAAATAAATAAATAAAAAAACAAGCATATCAAACAAGAGCTCGGGTCTTAAGCGGTTAAGTTCGTAAATGTTGGATAAACATCAATTGCTGTTGAATAACCACATGATACAATGGAAATGATGTGAAAAGCTTCAGGTTGCATCATGACAAGATGTTGTGGATTAGCCTGCCACGGGGAACATTTCCTCTCAGGAAGTCAATCATTCCACTGAACAACACTGAGGTGCTCACAAAGCAAGAGTTCTGTTTGATTTCTTCAAAGCCTCCGCAAATGTTCCTTAAAAGTCCGCCTGGCTCTCTCTCGATGTGCTGTGTGTGGATTCACATGCACTCATTAACAATGATGAATAATCCACCTTTTACAGGATGAGGAATAAATGGGGTGAGGATCAGTTTGTTTCTCCAGTCTTTAGTCAGCTACAGTAGGTGGTATGTGGATCCTTGTTATAGGTAAGGGGGCTGCAAAAAAACCTCAATAAACTAATAAAAAAGGAAACTGTAAGTGCATTAGAAAGTTGTCGCACTGTGTTGTATGCTTTTGATAATAGCTTTGTAAATAAAGTTTATATGGTTTTTTTTACCTTTTTTTTTACCTTGTGCTTCTTTTTCATGTGCGTTGTGGTTTTGCATAAATCAATTTGGTAATAACTTGTTAATAGTTTATAAACACACTTATCAAAAGACAATCTACTAATACTATCTAATGTTGTGCATGAGCTAAAATATATTAACTATCTGCTGATGCTACTAATACAATGCAGTCATTAAAAAAAAGAGGCTTAAAGCAGATGCCAGTCACAGAGAGGTCCAAATTAAAAACCATTCCACCTCATTAACAGGTTAGGAAACTGTAGCAAGCAGCCGTTAAATGCTGGTAATCTTGTTTGTTGCTGTAATAAGTTCACCTACCAGTCAGCTAGGCTGCCAATAAAGCTTCATCTGCTCTGCCTGCTCCGTTGCAGAGGCCACTAATTACTCGCACAATAATCTCAATCACGGTTTGGGCTCAGACACTTGATTCAGCGTAATTAGTTTTGATGATGACTCTGTGTTTAAAGTTCCTGCTCCGGTGCATCAAATCAAGTGCTCACGACTCCTCCAACTGTCTAATAAATCCCAATCTCAGTGTCACTGCGACTGACTGCTGCAGCTGCACACTTATAATGAGGATATGTTCGCTGGTTTTGGGGTTAGAGATTAGTTTTTTGCAGTGGCTAGAAATAAGAGTAATTTTTTTCAACCAGAATTTTTTGCTTGAAATGAGCAAATTTCATTTCAGTGAACAAAATACTGTAGTTTGTGCTGTTTCCAGTATGTGCAATACATAACCGTAAGTAGAGCTTGTCTAGGACTCGACGAGGTTCTTGATAGCCAGGAACTGAAACATATTTGTGAATCCTAGCTTTATGTAATTAGCCTGATCATGTCATGCTTGTCATCTTGTCATGCTGCTTCACTAAATCTTAATTTCTGCCCGAGCTTCGCCCCCTCTCATTAACACTCCACCCGGCCCCCGTAATCACACACTCCACCAGCACACGTAAACACAATCACACAACCTGTTAGCAAGGACCAGCAGGGTGCCAGATCAGACAAAAAAATAAAAACCTGGAAGAAAAGAGGAAAAAAAAACTCTCTTTCCCACCTGCATTCTTCATCTACCCTCTCACCTGCCTCCCCTCAGGGTCCCTGTTGTTTATCGTCAAAATATCGGAGGTAATAAGCAGAGCTGCACGTGTCGCCAGGCGACTGTCTCTGAGGTAAAGTGTGTGTGTGTGTGTGTGTGTGTGTGTGTGTGTGTGTACGTGCCAGGCAGACCGACACTGCCGAGCTGTGAAAGTGGCAGATAATGGAGAAGAAGAAGAAGAGGAGGAGAAAAGATAAGGACGAAGGAGCGAGGAGGTGAATGTAATGAGGAAGGGAAGGCAGCGTGAATGGGAAGGAGGATAAGGAGGAAGCTGATACAGAGAAAAGATGGACACGAGCAAAAATAAAAGGGAAGGTTAAAATTAAAAAAGGAGCAGGCAAGAAAGAAAGACAGGCAGAGGAGAAAAGAAGCAAAGGTTGAAAGATCTGAGGACTGGAGGGAGGAAAGAGGAGAGGAAGAACATCAAGAGCAGAAGGGTGAGAGGACAGAAAGGAAGCAGAGCGATGGCAGATGGGAGGATGAAAGAAAATATAAAGAAAGGGGAGAAGTGGAGGCATTAAACAGGGAGGATGGCTGAAAAAATTATAAAAGTAAAAAGAGGTACAAGACGGGAAAGGAGCAAAAAGACAAAGAGTGGGAGGATGAAGCGATAAAGAAAGAGCAAGAAGGAATAAAAGTAGGAAGAAAGAGAAGACCCACCGAGGCTTATGCTTCTTCCTGCAGAGCCACATTCGAACCGTCTTCTGCATCTTGATACAGGCGCCGGCCCGGTACAAAATCTTGTTCTTCACTGAAAGACAAGAGGAAAGAGGGAACGAGAAAAGATGATTCATTTCCTGCAGTTTCAACCTCAGAGCTGAAGAAGAACGAGGTTGCACACGGTTACTAAAACGCTGTCCAACCTGAGCTGGGACCAGAGAGACCTTTAGATGACTTACTTTCACATACAAAATGCTGTACTTTGCAAATGAGTAAGTTTTGAGGATAAATTACTTCAACAATTCTGGGAGACTGCTAGCCAATGGGGAGGGACGATGGCTGTTTTGGTCCAAGCCTACTATCACATCACTTGATTATGTTTTTGTATTTTTTCCAGGCAAGGAGTACGCGAATAGCTTTACAGTGCGTGGTCAGTTTATCCAAATGCTCCTATTCTGAAGCCATCACTGTGATTTTCAGCAGCTAATAGTACAGTTGATGAAAGTCCGTCACCAGTTTGAGAACAGTCGTGTTCCTGCAAGATCTTTGGCAACGTACTGCAGGCTCTGATGTTCATAGTGTTATTACCTGATACAAGCACTCCTGGATGATAACATTTTTATTTCAGGGATTAAACATAATCATTTTTTTGCTGCCTGCTTGCATACAGCGTTAAAGAAATCTCCACGTTTCTCTTACCTTGTTGTTTTGATGTCAAATTCAAATGTCTAAAACAACAAAAATGTCGATTTCTCTCTATTGTGAAGACACTTTTGAAGAGGAACACTGTTTACAGAGACATCACCGCATTTCAATAAGAAATTATTTTGGCAGCGTGCTTTGAATTGTTATGCTGAAATATTCCTCTTCTGCAGACTGAGACGTCTTGTCAGCCAGTATTTTGACATTTCTACAGACACTTATGATACCCTCTACAAATGCAGCCCCGTATCATCCCACCTCCGCGTTTCACTGTCAGGACCATGCCTTCACTGTGGTGGTCCTGACCAGGTTTATGGCAAACAGTTTGGGGCACCTGGTCGAGCTGGCATGTATAGGGGTTTGAGTCCTGCTCATGACCCTTTGCTGCAGGTCCTTCCTCCATTCTTCTCCCCTGACTTTCTCGTCTCTCTCTCTGTCCTATCCAATAAGGCCAAAACAACATTTTGGAGCCCATCTGAGCCGTAGAATGTGCTCCCAGACTTTTTAAAGTGGCTTATTGTGCCCTACAAGATCATCAGTGGGTTAAAGGGACAGTGGCCATTGATAGATTTCATAACTGGTGGTACTAATCTGTACCTACAGAGAGGAGGGGCTCAATAAGAAGCTTTGATCAAAGAGTGGTGGCCTGAGGCCCTTCAGTGACATTGTCCTGGTCTAAGCCTGACTCCAGGTAGAAGACCTATTTTCTGTCCCCAAATAGAAAAAAAAATAATCCCAACTTGTAACCAGTTTACAAACTTTGTCATTATAAAAAATGTCCTGTCATCCCCCTTGATGCTCTGAATTCTATTACAGCGATTTAATTTGCACTCACACACTAACGCAGTTTACAATCTGTTATGTTTGCAGAAATTCTTGATTTTTCTACCAAGTGCTATTATTTGTGATTCAATTCCACCCCCTTTTTCCAAGTGTTTGGACAACATAGATGCGTTTTCTGTCTTGCCAATGAAGCAAGTTTGAATTGAATTGAAGTGCGAAAATTAGAGGGAGAAAAAGGAGGGAGGGAGGGAGGGGGGAGAGATGAACTGTGAAAGATAAATAGAGACAGAGATCGATAACATCGCTACTCGCTGCCAAATTCATTTCATCTTGTTATGACCTCAGAATATGTAACTTCTACACCATCAATAACAGGATGATGAATTAATGACTTTGCATTACTGGGCAGAGGACGCTGACTGCTTACAGTATGTGCATTCAAAACTAAAGCACTGCCTTTCTAAGTGCTGCTACTGTAACACTGCACACCTTGTGGACTGGAAAAATGCATTCATAGTCAATAGGACATGATGATACGCTTTAAAGACAATTGATAAAGTCAACAAAGAGCGGCAGACTGAGTGACACGATGAGGAAAGAATGAAGGGATCGACTGAGGAGGAGCAGGAAGGGAGAGAATGAATAAGCCAGAGAGAGAAATGAGCAGAATAAGAGAAAAGCAGAAGACAGATGGAGGCAGACAGAGAGAGAGGAGTGTTATGATAGCAGCCTGTAGTGACTGACACGAACTCTCCTCAGACACCGCAGTGATAAACACAAGACAGCAGACAGATACCACTCCTCCAGGAGCGCAACCCCACATTATTACCAGCAGTCTGCCTCCGCCGCACAGCCTCGCTGCTGCACACATACCGCCCATGGTTTGTTTTGCTGCTGTGCTCTGCTCCGTCCACAAGGCCTCTGGGTATTATTGTGAGCCATCTGTGCATACTGATCCGTCTCTTGTTTGCATGATCGGATTTCCAACATGTCTGCCCGCATAAAAACTGAGAGTGATAAATGTGCGGAGAGTGACGGCTGAGGTGGAACGACGGGGACGCACGTAGAACCACTTTATCCCCTACGCGCAGTTTAAGTACCCTTGTTTTAGAGCCAAGTAATCATCATCTGGTCCTGAACGCCTCTTTAACCTCTGTCTGCAGTGCCCCCTTGTGTGCAGCTGCCGACGTCAAAAACGCAATTTGTTGTCATTTTAAACACCCCTTTGGTATTTTTTAGCTCGTCTTTGCTGTCTTTGCGCTGTTAGTTGTCACCGCAATATTGCCTCTTAACCCTGTGAACCCAAAATGAAAATAGTTATCAGAGCCAGAACCCGAAAAAAACAGAAAGAATAGCTGCATTTTCAACTTTCCAACAGTCCATGAACTAATCGTGTATGACACATGGCTCTGTCTGGAAAATTAATAGAATCTAAGCCTATAATGGTGACATTTCACCAAAACCTACTACATTTATTTTGCATGTTTAATTTGGGGCTCGCAGCTAAAAGATCCCCAGTTTGTCCAGCCCCCCGTGACCCTAGTGAGGATTAAGCGGTGTATAGATACTGGATGGATGGTGGATGGACAGATAATGAATGGATGTTTAATTTGAAAATTCCCCTAAAATAAAGTGTTTGCTGAAAACTCCTTGGTAACTACGAAGCCAATACTGCTTCAGTCAGGACCAACCGTCACAAAATGAAGGAACATTTTGGTTGAACTGGGATGAACTGCAGGCTGTGCTGACACAGAACAGAAAGGTGACAGGTATGGAACCAAATTAAAAATGTAATTAGTAAAATACCCCAAAGAATGTACACTTCCAATTTTTCTACTATTGCTAACACCGGTAGACACTTGAAAAAGGGTTGGACATGGTAATCCCAGGTTTTTAATTTGTTCGTAAAATAAGTAATCAAATGATTTTTTTGCGATTTACTGAATTATGATTTTGCCATATTGCATAAAAGATGTGTTTGTGTTCTCTCTCCTTGTAGCTTGTTTCATTTCTAGAGAGATGCAGGACTTTAAAATGCAGTGAAAGATTAGCTCACTGAGTAAAAATGTGAAGGAGAAATAGCTGCTTGGGGACGATGGAAATACATAACGTCCTCCTGTGTGCACTATTTAACTATTTTCTGCAGAGGCCCCTGCCGTGTGGATGCTTGTTTACACGTGACACAAGTTGCACATTAACCAAAATGAATGTCATACAAGTTTAGAAGTGCTATTGTTGTTTTGTCATTAAAGCATCGTCTAAACCCCCTTGTAGATTTTATTACAACCTAGTGCACACTAAATAAAGCATTTAAAACTCCTTCAACATCTTCTTTTACCACCAAAAGATAATTTACAATCACAGTAAAAACATTTTTTAAAAACTGTTTTCACCCTGAATATACACCATTAACATATTTTCCATTAATTTTTTTCAGCCTAAAAATGTATATTCAATGTCCTACATTTCCATGCAGATAAATAAATACATAAAGTAAAAAATGCTGATACATTTAATGGTGTCTAAAACTGCCGCAGCCATTTCTGTGATGTTTACATGAGAAGTTAATGAATTAGAGGATTTTTAAAACTCTGGCAAAAATAGACAGACCGGGTTTACGCTCTGTGCGATCACAGTAATTGCTGCAAACAACACGACACGGCTGATAGTTTGGCTGTTCAAGGTCTAATCTGGTTTATTTCATTACGCATTTTTGAGGCGTATTCGCCTTTTACAGCTGAAGGGAGACAAGAAAGGGAAAAGAAAGATGGGATGACGCGCAGCCAAGTGAGTCAAACTCGGGTCGCTGATCCAAGGTTTCGGCCGCAGCACACGGTGCTTTGGACTTTTGTTGGGTTATTTTCAAATAAAAAATATTATATCAAGACAATTCTCTGCATCATGTGTCACACACAGAGGAGCAGGCAGCCTGGCTAGAGAGTGGTAAATAGTGGATAAATAAAGCAAGTATTTGCAAAAGTAGTGCCTCTGAAAAAGCTCAGTGAATCAAGGAAGGCAGTTGCTTTGAGGAAATATGACCTTGAGTTGTAAGACTTCAGCTCTGTGTCCAGTGGTAACAAAACAACTGCTGGTGCTCATTCATCAGCCGACAGTGACTTTATAACTCAGAGAGAATATAAAGTCATTATTTGGGGTGGGGTTTCTTTTTGGCTTTTCAGCTGTAAACACTTTTACTATCTGGTGTAGATCTTACTGACAGTTATGAATGCACACATTCCATCACTTTCATCCTGAGTCCAATCAATACCCTGAGAGTCCAATCAATACCCTGAGGGCGTTTTCTTGGTGTGATGCTGCTTACGTTTGATGACGGACAGAGCGCACCACTGGACCTTCTTCCAGCGGCTGTGGATGAGCCACTTGTTGACCTTCTTCACCAGCTCTGCCAGGTGATCTGGATCCGACTTCATGATCTGGTCAAACTCTGCAAACTGGACAGAGATGAGAGACACGTGTGGTCAGAGCTGTGATTTTACACCTGAAACAAAATGTATTTTTATCTCGGAGTAATTCAAGGATGAGTCAGGCTCCATTTGTTTGTGACCAGAACCCAACAAATCTTGATCCTCTAATAAAAACATATCAGTGTTGGACTGGGCTACGTGTTCTTCTTTTGTTGAAAACCTTCTTAGGTAATAAAATAAAAAATATATTTTCATTTTGTGGACTTTCTATACATCTTCATATCGTTATGTGTACTTGAGGCAGTGTGGAACTTTATTTATTTATCAATTTATCAATCAATTATCAATTTATTGTCCTTGCACATGTCACAAGTACAGAGCAACGGAAAGAACAGTTACATCCCGTCCAAGAAATATATAAAGACAGTCGCTAACTTTATTTATTTATTGCCTAATACAAACATTAAAACACCTATAAAGTCGCACTGATATACAACAATGTCTGCAATGCAACCAGATCCATCAGAGGAAGATAAATTGGTTGGACAAAATCTCTGACGGTGACAGATTTTCATTATCCAACGGCATACGTCATCACAGCACCAAATCCTAACGTTTTAGACTCAACGACTGTCAAAGCAAATACAGCGAGGCCAAAGGCAGAGAGGTATGTATTTATTTGAGCCGCAGTGAATTTAGTTTTCTCTTATTCATTCAAGTATATTTAAATAGGACAGCGGTGATGTGAATGTTGAGGCCCTGGGTCTGATCAGAAGGTCGGGGCTTCGAGCGCCACTGCTGCCAACTGCCGCTGTTGGGCCCTTGAAAAAGGCCCTCAACAATATTTGCTCCAGGGGCACCTTATCATGGCTGCCCCTGTGCTTTGACCCCAACTGGGACATGAGAAAAGAGAATTTCATGGTGCTGAAATGAATTAGGGACAAATGAAGGCTTGTTTTTTTTTTTTCCTGCCTCTTCTTTTATAACAACGCCAAGGGTCATATCACGCTGCTGAAAGCTTTCTAACACTTAGTGCTCCTGATTTGAAAGTCTGCTGAGAGCTGCTCCGTGACAGTGCACCCGACATTTGTTGTTGTGTTGTGTCCTCCCGAAACCTCTGATTTCCAGACTTTGAGAGTCTGCTGCTGCTGCTGCTGCCTTAATAATGAAAGAAACTGCTGAATTCACTGTTATTTTCTCAGCGCCTGCATGTCCTCATTGTCTGTTTATAAAGGCTTGATTTCTAACAACACAAAGTGCGTCGGGCTCTCGTGTTTCAAGAGTCCGAAGCCTCACGGCATCACATTAACAGCTAGATGGCCTCTGAGCAGTTTGAAAAAGATTACTAGGACTGGCCTCAGTATACACACCGTCATCCAGGGATGACACGATAGCTAAAGCCTAAAACTTACTTTACACCATCCTACATTTTCTAAACCTAGAAATCCTGAACATTTATGGCTCCTTGCAGGTGAAAACACTTATTTACATGTGATATTGTGCCTACATTGGAGGGCACTGTTGCCATCTGATCCTGCAGTGAGAAGACTAATGAGTGCAGCTGACAGAGGACTCAAGTATTTATTTATTCCTCTGAGGTAAATCTATGCTGTCAGAGTAACAGTTTGTCCTGCACGCTGTGTACCGAGGTCTTCTGAAACAAACACATGAACTTCCATAAAGTCCCTGTTGGAAACCACATGTCGAAACCAAATGTGATGAATTATTCATCTGGTGGAGAAATAAAAACCCCCATCTGTTGGCTCCGAAAATCTCATCTCACCTCACCGCAGCAGCCACAATGACTAATGCGCTTTCCCTCTGAATGTATTGTCTTTCTTTAGGGGGAACAATGCCTATATTAGCCAGCGCGAGGAGGGAATAGAGCAGGTTTTCAAAAAGTCTCACCTTCCCTGGCCGGAAAAACACTCTGGTCAGGCCGAACTTGTAGTCATTCTCATTCAGTCCCAGGGCTTTGAACAAAGCCTGCAACACAAATACACAGACTAAGCATGGAAATATGGCTCCATTAAAATGATAATAAGAGCGCGGGGCCACAGCTGAGGCTGAGAGGACTGACCTTGCAGAAGAGGCGAGGGTCGAGGCGGGTGAGTTTGGGAGGCATGTAGCTCTGGTACATGTTGTAGAGCTCGTGGAAGGGAGCTCTGGAGGGGAAGCCGCCCTGCATCAAGTCCAGCACGGACACCATACCTGCAGAAAGAGCCACAGAGAGGGGAGCTCAATAGACACAACAGTATGAGGTCCACTATTTAGTTTAATAATCAGGTCAGCAACATGGTGAAATGTCCTCTACAGTAGTTTTTCTTACATCTTGGACTGGGTGTCAAATTTTCAGCAGGTATCAAACGCTAAAGGATCAAAAGATGGCATCAAATGTCAGATTTAAGTCCTTGTATTCTTTCAGACAGTTCCAAACTCAAGTCCAAACTTTGTCAGTTTTTGAGCAACCATTCCGATTAGCACGGCAGCATGGTCTTTCTGTTTGGAGTTTACTTTCTCTCTCTGTTTCTACAGGTGTTTCCTTCTACAGTCCAAAAACATGCATTTCAGGTTGACTGGTGATTCTAAATTGGCTGCTGCTGCTAATGTGGGTGTATACGGTTGTCTGTCTGTTCGTGTTAGCCCTGCGATGGCCTGGTGTGCCCCTCGAGTCTGTCCAAGCCCAGCTACAAGCGCAGATAAGGTTGATGAGAATGTCATTATTATTTATTCATACATTAATATCGGACAAATTGAACCTTTTGGCCTGATAATGATACAAGATTACAAGTGAGAAAATACTAAAAGTGTCCGCGATTCACCCTAAAGAAAGCATGAATATATGAAGTACATCTTCATCCAGAGTGAGCCTCTCACTCTGATCCACAAATGTCAACCTGATTGCGTTGTTAAGGGAAAGTCAGAGCAACATAAAAGTCCATAAGAATCATGATCTGGGTTTTATGAATGTTTGTACCAAAGTCTGAGTCAATACATCGATGAGGACATTTCAGCATATAACTGTAAAGTCTGGTCTGTCGATGGCACTGGAAAAAAGGGATCACCATAACAGTTACAACTTCATCTCTGGGAATGTCTGAAACGAACAGTTGTATAGATATTTCACACAGAGCATCCAGCGTGCTTTAGTTATTTCTGTCTGAAGTATTAAAGTGGTGGCCCAGCCAAGCAACATTTCAGTCTAAAAACTGACTAACAGGCACCTTTAAACCCAAGAACACACCAGTGGGTTTGAAAAGGCATGTCATTTTGTAAAAACACCATTAATCACAGCCAGAATATTGTAAGCACTGAAAAAAAACTGTCAGACGTTAAACTTTCAGGTGATCCTTGAACTTTTTGAGACTTCCAGTTGAGCCGAGACAATTAGCCAATCTAAGCTTCAAATATGACAAAAACGCAGTCGTTATTCAGCTGAACTGCAGGCTGTGTTCACGCAGAGCAGAGAGGAGACAAATATGTGAACCAATTGGGAATGCAAGTTGTAAAATATCAATAGTATGGAGAGTTGCATTTTTTTCCCCAACTACTAGAAACACCACTGGGCATTTAAAAAAAAAAATCTAATTGTTAATTATATGTTTTTGCAATATTTATAATTTAAGGCATGATAACTTTCCTATACTGCACAGAAGACATTGTCAACTTCCCTCTACGTCTAGTCGTCATGGTTGTGTTGCTCCCATGAACATGCAGGACTTTTTATCACAGTGAGCGAAAATGTGAAAGAAACAAAAAAACACCAAGAGACTGCTTAAGGTTCAGACTGTTTATGGATTCTACTATGAAAGAATGATATGAAAGATTGCTTAAATATCAGTACACAAAGGCAGGGAAAACCCCTCCACATCCAGGCCCACTGACACACACAGACGAGAGCTCACACTGACCCTAAATACTACAGATCCAAATGATGCACCTTGGAAAGCAGACTGACTTTGGAAGAATTAAATCAAAGCCCAGCTGAAAAGCTGAGTCATATTTGGCTGCATGCCTATTAGCATAATTTTTCCGCCTTTCTTGCACAACTTTGTGACCCTTTTTGTCTGTTCTGACTGTGTTTATGCTGTCAGGACTTTCCAGACTGTTCCGCCTGACACATTACATTAATTTGTTTATTCAGACCCCCTGTAAACACAGATGATTGGCCATCTTTGAAGCATTGTTAGTCGCCTCATTTTGCTTTGAAACCTCAAATCAAAGGGCTCATTTTCAAACCTCTTTCACAGCGGACACATGCTGCTAATTGCCATTTATTCATCCTCGCAGCTGGATTTTCTAACTGTCCTTAAGTCGCTTTCGAGCTTATGACCTCTATCCAGTGTTATCTCATTCATCCCCTCCACAATAAATAAAGTACACTCGGCCTCACACAATTAGATAAATACAATCACAGCACGCAATGTACGGAGTGTTAAATAAAGCTTCTGTATCTGGAATCTGACAAAAGGGCTAAAATTGCAGATTGATGTGTGCGGATGCATCAGGACACACCGCTAATGACTGCATGTGGAATTTAAAGGTCACTATTTTGTCTTTTGTGTTTGTCAAATATGAGCAAAATAATGGCCTTAGATGGGCTCTTGGAAAACATCGGTGGCAGCAACTTGACGATTTCATTGTAAGCACCACAAAGTTGACTGAAAGCGTTTCATTTTCCAGAATGAATGAATGAACAAATGAATTTTCTTTAACGCAGCATTTTTTACAGTAGAAGATGTGGAGTTGATTCAGTAGATTCACAGGATTTGAGCAAAGTGATTTCCATGTTTTGTTATAGTAGTTATTCTTGCCTTTACTTTATCTTAAAAAATTATTTATTATAAGACCAACTCATAGACTAGACAGGACATGGCATTAAAAACATGTCCCCCTATAAAACTAGAAGCCCTCAGCAGAGGGACATAGCTGCCCAATGTATGCATGTTTACCTGATTGTGTGTTTCACTGTGCGCCTACTTGAGGAGGAACTTGCCTTGAGTTTGCCATAAAATGATTCATAATGTAGAGCTTAGTCTGTCATGTAACACAGATATTTTACATGGAGGGGAAGCGTTTTGCTGGAATTTACGCCTACGGCACCGAAGACTTATGGCCTTGAGTTTGACCTTGACCTTTCATCCGAGGTCAAACGTCACATCACCAACATGGGTTCCTTTGATTGTAAAAAGAAACTGTGTGTTTTTGTTACACCTTTTCCAAGTTATAATGGATTTAACATTTGGGATGATTTACGACCATCAGTGTGACCTTGACTTTTGTCTCAAGGTCACATGTTACATCACCAGTTTATAGGCCTCGAATGTCGTCCTAAGTTAGTATACTAAACTTGTGTCTTTTTCTGCATTTTCAGTCATACAGAGGTGTTTTTGGAAAATGCAACATTGGACCTTTGTAGCAGTCACCAATGCATGTATTGAACCCAAAATCTAGTCACTCCGAGAAGGGACCATACCGAGGTCATATATGAAGTTTCAGGTTCAAACTCCTCTCGATTATTCTATAGATGCCCATCGATGAGTAACTATAACAACGACTGTGTTTGTTTTGTGATTATGTTTCAAGTAAAACAACACATGAACCAGGATGTCCTCATGAACCTGACAGTGAAGGTGACAAAATCGCATTGTGTGTGTTAATTACAAAGTTATAATCAGTCAGGAGTGGGAGTGGTTTTAAATATTAATGGCTAATTACTGTCTGCGTGGATTAAAGTGCACAAGAAGCCTAATTATCATTTACAATAATTTGCTACATGGTTACAATCTGGTAGCTAGCTCATTAAAATTCTAATTAAGGTCAGAGCATATGATGGAATGGTGGCGCTACAATGTGCCAGAGACCACCAACTTTGGGCTTCAACGTCCCCTTGAGACCCCCAAACCGGTGTTTTCATCCTCCTGGGCGGCTCTTCAATACCCTTGTGGAAAGTCCTGCTTCGATTATGTCCTGAGCATTAACATGGGAAGCATGTAAAGACATGCGTGTCTTATTAATGAGACGAGGAGAAGAAACGTGGAGAGCACTTCATTCCACTGAAGGACCTTCTCCGCCTCCTGCCCCTCGATAACAGAGCTTCTCTCTTGTGTATTCAGATAAAGCAGGAACTTGTAGAGCGCCGGCCTCGAGCTGCACATAACTCATATCAGGCTGCCATTTGTAATTGCTGCACAGTTTCCCAAAGGAAATGGTATAGGAAAAAAAAAAAATCTTGATATCATATTTAATTAAGACTTCACCCTTCACAGTTACATCAAGGCAATTTTCCAACGTGTGGATTTTCACCTCGGAGCCCTTTTGGGGAGTCTGTACGAACAACTGATCCATGAATGTGTTTGAAAAGACAAAAAAAAAAAAAACTGTAACTTCACTGCTGGAAAGATTCAACTTGTTCAAGCCTAGTGGTCATGTGAACTGGAGTTCCTGAACATTTTTATCCTAGTATTAGTCTCCCTCCACTGGTTTCTTGTAAAACCACTCATGGTTATTAAATCCTGCTTCTAACTTACGAGGTATTACACAGCTTCAATATGTCTCTGATTTACTTAAGCTCTCTAAGCCTGTCTGTGCTTTCTGCTCACAGAAACGAGCTCAGGTCAGAGAATCCTGCCCCCGTCTCAGGTAAGATTAAATCTACATTTCGTTTTTCTGTTTTAAACTTCAATGGAAAAGTTCTTTCTGGTGTTGCCGAACATCCCATTTTGGGCCTGACCGTGTCATGTTGGTACACAGAGGTCTCCCACGTCTATTCCAAACTATCAACGCTTCGATTCCCAGTCCAATAAAACTGATAAAGAGCTCGGCTGGGTGCAGTATCTGAACATCGAGCTTGTGTGGATGAAAGCAAAATCTCTGAGGATATTAAACCTGAGCTCATAATTTCTTTTCCTACAAACCTGGGGCAGGGGAGGGGAGTATCTCTCATGGGTTGTTTTTTTTTTTTTTTTCTTTTTTGCTTTGGGCAAAGGGGAAAGTTGAAGAAAGCAGAGTCACATGCACAAAGAAGGCACACACACAGAGTCAAGGGCACTGGACACTGTAAATGAGCAAACAGTTAAGATTAAAATGGTGGAGTATTATTTAAATCAACTTTGCACTTAATCATTGAAATCTATTTTTTATTCCTTTATTACAATGAATATTCACTTTGAAACTTTTAGAATGAAATAATACATACATTATAGCTTAACACCTTTAAAAAAAAAAATCATTATTTATTGCTTTATTTAAAGTTTTTAAATTCAAGACGTTCACCTTAAATCAAGATTTGAATGTTACACGTCCTTTTGCAGTGGTGTCTTTACACTGGCCTCATCCTGAACAAACACCTCCTCCACCATTTCTCAACGCTGCCTTTTGTCTAACATTATGTCCGCTTTGTGGTCTCCTCCTGGAGCTTCGTGTCCCTCCAGCTCGCAGCAATCATCGCTTTAAACCTTGCTGGGCGATTTATTTATTTAACTATTTTCTGGACAGAGTTTGTGCACTGATGTGTCGGCTCCGTGTTTGTATTTGTGAGCTGTGAGGCGTGTAGGTTATGGAATAGCAACAAAAGGGCCATTTCTTCCCTGAGTTTGCCCTTAAGGCAGCACTTCTCCCCAGATTTGATGGAGTTTTACAGGGTGTTGCCTGGAACGAGGCTTTGCCTTAAAGGCTAAAGTCTGGGAACAGACGTCTCAGTGTGCAGAAAACACCACAAAGTACCTGGAAGACTGGAGCATTATTGACTCCAGCTTTGCTCTGCGAGATGTCCACTGATGCATATCTGTAGCTGTGCTAAAGTCAGCTTAAATCTTCTGCACAGAGATGGATATATGCACCACTACAGCTCCGTCTTTGTCAGACTGGTGAATGGATTGATAAAAACACCATCACCTGGCAAATTTGTTTATTCTTCAATACGTGGTCGCCGTATTTCTGTAGTTTTCTGTTGCCTTAATGAATGTTGGATTGTTGGCATGTTCTTGTTCACTTTATTAGTGATGGGATTTCTAGTCTCATAACTGCCAAGACGAATGAAAGGTTCTTCTGTTTGGATGGAGCATCATTCCTGTCCTCAAAACTCACCTGAATAATCCACATTTAATCATTCTCTGATACCTCAGCCAACCGTACAGGCAGATGGAGGCTGTAGGATACCGATGAAAGCTCCAGAACAAGTGGGTAAGTTGGTGGACTTTCACTTCCGATTGCTTTGTCAGTTTTTCGTTTTTTTTAAATTAGTTTGAAAGTATTTTTCTGCCTGTGTTCTACATGTTTAATCATGCAGACACATTTTTCCTAAAATCACTGCAGTAAACCCTTGGTGCTTTATTGCAGGTGCATTTTAGAAACAAGTCGTGCTTGTTCATTGTAAATGTTTTGAACAGTGAGTCACTGCAGAGGCGCTCCATCTCCGCTTGTCCTTGATTCTACATCTTCCTGTTTGTTAAAAAGGTTTACTGACATTTTGCATCTATTTGCAGTTTATCTTCTTGCCTGCGTGGAAAAACCGTTGTTTTTTAAACAGGATGAACAGGATGTAGTGACGGCAGCTGTGTTAAATGCACTGAAGGGAAAGATAATAAGAGTTGAGGGAAGCCTAGCAGAAGTTCAAGATTGTATAAATAAAGATGGATGTAGCAACCTGCTCTGCAAAGTGAAGCCGATGCAGAATGTCTTCAAGTGCAGTACCAGTGAACGCCACTAGGTGCTGGCTGTAACAAGCTCAAGCTCCCAAAGACTCCCATTCAAAAATAACTGCAAAAAAGCGAAGTCTGTACATTTTCTCTACAGGTGATTATGTTGTGTTATGTATTATGTTAAATTCACTTATTTTGATCAGTGTTCTGTTCCATCATAAAATAATTTGATATTTAAATAGAAACAAGGCCTCCAATGAATGACTTTGGCTTTGTAAAATACTGTCTGTAATGATGGTGTGGACATTGTTGACAGAGTGAGCCTGTTTTTTTTACCATTAACGTAATTTTATTTTTTCATTTTTCCTGTGATTTTACCAGTTATTTGTAATTCAACAAAACAAGAAAATCTGTAAAATAAATTGTTAGAAAAAATACAGTTAAAAACTATTAAAAATGTTAATTTTTTGCAGTGTAGTTTGTTATTAACATTTCAGCTGAGATGGGGAGGACAGAAAATAAGGATGGACTTCTTTTCTAGAGGAGATAATCAGTGTTGTCTGACTTAGAACTGTTTGAGACAGTTTATACTGTAGTGGTGGATTGTAAATGGTCACCCAGACACACAAACTGTGTCAGATAATTTAGATATTACTAACACAGAAGTGCAGTGACATTTGTAATCTAAGGCTCTGCTACTGAAGTGAGAACATTGCCTTATAACACAACCTTAGTTAAGAGTACGTTGTTTGGGATGCTTGAATTGCCAAAAAGAAAATAAAAAGAAACCAAGCCCCTATCTCACTATGACGACCTCAACTATCAGTTCACCTGCCCGCCACTGACACATCTGGCTACCTTGTGGGATTTTCCACCTGGTCGGGTGCTCAGCATTTGCAGGTGGTTTAATCCCTTTTGCTACTCAACATTGAAAACTCCCAAGAGAAGGATGTGCTATCACTAACTAACTTCTTCAGAGAAGTTCTAAGCCAGATGTTTTTTTTTAAAGCTCAACCTCCTTCTTTACAACAGCAGCATCTCCACACACAGACGAGACAGCAACATGGTCAGAGTGGGGCTTCTCCTTTCAGCCTCGAGGCAGCGTTGGATACCAAAACTGTGTCTGATGTTTGTCACTGTGACTAAAACCTAATATCTTTGGTTTACTGAATTTAACTGAGCTGGTTTTACAACTTTAGACTAATCATTCAACCTATAGCTGATAATTCAACTCACATTTGTAAGGTACTAATGGAACTTGTGACAACAACTAATCCTAAAATAGGATTTTCCAAAAAGACCCATAAATGAACCCTTCAGTGAGACATTGTATTGAGTTAGTGGAACAACAGTGATGTCAGAACTGGATCTCTCTATGAGGCATAGACAGAATATCAGATGTCACGCCATGCAGGTCGAACATAAAAATCTTGGCTAGAGTCAAATGAACCAGAGTCCTGAGAAAACACAGACCTGAGCACTGCAGCTGGGAGAGAATCTGAGCTCCTTCAAACTGGTGGCTGACCATCTTCAGGTTCGGCTTAATGCAGCGAATGAAACTGGAGCCCTGGAGGAGTGAAGGAGGGGAAAGAGTGGAGGGAGAAAAGAAACAGCAGTCATTACACTAACAGCAGGAACCACAACCTGCATCAGAATTTCAAGACATCCATCACGTCTGACTCGGGACACGATGCATTGTGCGTCACAGGTAAGATAGGAACAGTAAGAGTTTGTCTTTCGTGAGATATAGAGAGCTGCATCACAGCAACTCTAATCTGTACTGCGGCTGTGGGGTTTGTAATATAAAATCATCACCGTGGACCAGGGAAAGAACAAACACTGACCGTGCTGCGCAGCTTTTCCAGGAGAATATTCAGCTGGGTCTGCAGGAAAAAAGAAGAAGAAGAAGAAGAAGTATGAACATTTGTGTTAAACAATCTGTACGATGAAAAAATGCAGATCAGAGTTGAGTAAATTAATGAGCTGAGCCAAACAATTACATTTTTGATGTTAAATTCCCAGCTTCCTTCCTGGGATTCCAAGACCCTGGTGTGCATTATTTAAAAATACAACGTGTATGGTGCAGTAACACATATACAAAACCAAAAGAAGCACTAAATAATTACTGCTACATCCTGTCAAATAATATATGCTCATGTGCCACATTTCACATAAATTATATGTTAAGTAACAGAAACAAAAAACCTGAAGTTTCCCCTGATAAAGTATGAAACATTCAGCTGACTTAATGGTTCCCAGTGGGGTCGCTCACCTAAAATACCTGTAATCACTGGTCATGCTGTGAATTTTCTTGAAAAAAAAAAACCCATCAATTTAGTTAATGTCACTCTGCAAAATCCTAAATTCTAGTAGAATGTGGAATCTTTCATTTAAAAAAAAAAAAAGAATAATTCTCCACTGGTTTTTCCACTTTCTTTCAACCACACGTTCATCATGCCCAGAGGTTGTTTTGTAGTCAAGGTGCACAAAGCACGAAAGAGTGAAAATTAAAACGTGAAATTGCACGATTTGTCACAGTAAACAGAGCTAAGAGAACGAACGACACACCTCAAGGTACATTTGTTTCACTGTTTCTTTCAATTTGTAATTCCTAATTAAATCAACCTAAAACACACAACAGGTAAGATTAATTTGTGTATATTGACTTTGCAACGACTCAAAATTCTACCAAGTAGAACAGCTCGTTTCTCTAAAACAGTCAAGCGTTTGCTCTCAGTTGCAGCACGCTTTGAGCTCACAGCAGCAGATCAGATAAGAGCTTGAGCACATGCATGATGAAGTCGAGGTGGAAATCTCCTGATCTGTTGCAATAAACAACTTCAGTGGCGGTCAGCACTCACATCTGTCCCTGATTAAGCTACGGTAAAGGAAAGTCTTTCAGTTTGGTATGCGTTAGCACAAGTCCTCCTCTACACGGATCGAGACGGATTCATTCTTTGTGTTTGTTGTGATTCACTTGGAAAAGAGCTAGGGTTGAATTTCTACAAATACAAAGTTGTACTTTCAGCACATTTTTTAAATGACTGAACTGTCATCTCAGAGTTTTCATTAAAATTGTTCGTTTTCTTTGAGTTTCTCCTCTGGGCATTTTTTAATTTTCCAATTTTTGCTTCAGAAATTGTTTAAATATCTCATTTCTTTTCAAATCACAAGTTGGTTCCAATTACAGTCAGAACTACAAACTAAAAAGCTGCTACAAGAAAAGTGTTTAAGTTTTCTTTTCCATTGAGCCCTTTCATTGCTGAGGAATCCTTAATGTTCCAACAAAAGGTGACGCCAACGTTTGCCTGTTTTCTTGACCCTTGGACTCCTTAGTGTTGGCTGCCTGTTGTATTGGTGATGCATTATTCAAGCGTACTTTAGTAAGTGACTGATGCCATGAAGAGCATCTGTGAATGTGAATATATGTAAATATAAATTTATATGTATAGTAATTAGGGTACAATGGAAGACAGATGAGGGTACAGCGACGCCAAACAGTGACAGATTGCACATAGCACAACAGCAGCGTCCTTGTTTGTCTACTAACATGTTTGGCGGACTCACAAAACCTAATCGAATTCCACAGTGATGCTCTTGGCTGACGTGATAATGTGGTAACCATGGTAACTGCCCTTTGTTCTACTGAGGCCCCATTTCCACGTAGCAAAAACGGTGATATTTCAATGCGTTTGGACCTTTGGTTTACACGTAAACAAAGTTACAGGTCACCAAAAACGATCACATCTGAGAACTTCGGCCAAAATGGAGATTTGGAAAAACTCCGTCTTTGCGTGTAGACAGAAGGAGACGGAGTTTGACGTCACAGTGTGCGACAAAAGTATCATCAGTGTCATATGTACGCGACCATGTTTACAGTTTGGCTACTGTGATAGAAATGGATTCTGTTAAAGCAGTGCTCCTTTGTACGTTTGTGCAAACGCTTTTGGCCCGATTGCATTTACATTCAGGAGTAGCTCCACTTCTCTGTCAGGCCAAACAAACGACCCTCGTGCCATTATCGTTGAAGCAACAAGAAGCAATCCGCGGCATTCGTTGCTGTGTTTTTTCCAGGATTCTGATTGGCTAGCATGGCTTTATGCTTCTCATTACACTGCCCCCTATAGGGTTGGCAGCTCATAGCAGCTCTTAACGACGTGTTTATGCGGGTTTGTGTCAACGAAATTTGTTTTGAAAACAATCTGGTGTGAACAATGTTATTTTTGAAAGCGTAGATCTGTTGTTGTAAATACCCGGCTATGTGTAAACGTGGTCTTATTCTGACACCATTATAACCAGACAGGAAGACACTCTGCAGTCTATAAGGTCACCCCCCCACAGATGGACAGCTGCAGGCTGAGAGGTGATTTAGGTGTAGTGGCAGCATTTGCTATATCGAGGTCACGTGATCAGCGTGTTACTGACATCAGAATTTGAGCTATCTAGTCTGCAACAGTTTGGGAAAGTCTCAGAAGCAGTTGGTACAGGAGCACTTCTTCTTCTATAGCTGAGGATGCACTCTGACTCCAACCTACTTACAAGTACTGGCTAATTTCAGCCCAGTGGACCAAACCTTCCTTCCTTACAGCCACTCTGCTAGCATGGCTAAAAATCGTATGACAATTTCACAACACTTCTATTTGCTTGAGTAATAAATGCAGTAATAAACCTTAAGATGTACTGATAATATTCAATGATGGACTTGCATTAGGTTTGACATAACTTCCTTTCATCTGTACCTCTGTAGTGTTGAACAGTTCTACGTTTAAAAGTATTTTGAAACTGCCTTGTTTAAGAAATTCAAGAGTCTTAACATACAGGTTCATGACATCATTTACGTCCTCTGATGGCCTTTTTAAATTGGTCCCTTTCATGTGATGTGATTGAACGACCTCGTCCTTGCTCACGGACATTTCGTAAATATGACTTGGTCAGGTCATATACTTTACGATGACTTTGTAATTCAGGTTATCTTTCAAATCCAGGCTGAATTGTCAGCGGCGTCTGGGTGAGCCTTTGGAATAGGACACCCTTGTTATGATGTATTTGGTAGACGAGTTGGGACAAAGCTACGGTGACTGGTTATAATGAAAACCTACAGGCCCGCCACGGCTCACGATTTCCCTTCATTGCTCCATCCAGGACGCAGCGTCTCCATCACCTCCATCGGCTCAGATTAATCACTGCTCATTTTCATCACGCCCCTCGCTCCTCTGGGCCCAAAGCTCTGCTCTTGTCTGCCTTCCTGGATCCTCCTGTACACCTTTTGAACCTTAATCAACTGTCGGGGTGAGCGAAACATTACAGGTAACAGAGCTCACAGGTAATAAGAACTCCATCTAGTCTGTATTGAGCAGAAATCCACTCTGAGACAAGCTCGGCACTGAAATCCTCTCAAATAACTGCAGAATGTTTTCAGTGTAATGTTCACTTGTACAACATTGTACAGACAGACAAGTTCATCTCATGCTGTCAGCGCTTGATACTTCTGTTAGTTGTTCGGTGTCGGGAAAATATCACTTTTCAGCATTTAGGTGTCAGTGGCAACCTGATATAAAATGTTTCAGAATGAATCCATACATGAGACATTCAAAGTAAAAAGCTGCCTCATGCGTCACAGGAACAAACCTCGTTTTGCACACTAAAAGTCAGCCATTTCCCAAACTGCAGCAGTCAGGATATTTAGCTTTTAATGCTTCTGGCCGCTCTTGTCATGACCTTTATATCGCACAGGTTCTGCTGATCTGGTGACCTCAGCCAGTCGAAGGTTTAGATCACGTGGAAGTTTAAAGGAACTTCACAGGTTATTACTTCTTCTGACTCTCAACGCAAGTCTGAAAGTTACTCCTCTGATGTGCAAGAAGTATCAGAAAAAAAAGAATATGACAATGTACAGAATTTTGTGTAAACAGCTCACATGCAAATTTGGACTCTTAGAGCAAGTACAGTATTTAAGCTCACAGCTGCTGGATGTTTTCTTTCCTATTTGGGGTCACTTAAGCAGGAAACTGATCTCCTATGCTCGACACATTCAATGCATTATGTATACCTACTTTTACTAGAAGGTACTTCAACAAATCTGAAAGAATTGCACAATCAATCACTGTCTATTTTAATAACTTTTAAATAAGTTTTTCCAGCAAAAATGCCAAAATTCCATGTTTTATTAGACCTTGTTGTTTTTCTTGTTTCTATTAATCTGGTTAATAAAGTGACATTTGATGGACTGTTGTTTGTTGTTGTTGTTTTTACTTTGTTTTGATGTTAAACAGTCCAATTGACAAATTAGTTATTTGAGAAATTAATCAGCAGATTCATCAATGATAAAATCTATTTTTTAGGCACATCCCCGGTTGAAATCTAGCAGGAAATATCAGCTGACTACCATCCTCCTCACATCGTCCCTGAAAGAAAATGGTTCAGGAAACCTAATGGAAAGAAAAACTGCTGTGAGAATTCATGCTGCAGCTCTGAGTGGAGAATCTAACACTTCAGTGATGGACAGTGTCCATACAGTCTCAGAGAGCATCAACGCTGCATCATGCATATAAATCATGTTCCCATCCGCATGAAAGGAAGAAATATTTGTACATCAAACACACCGGTGTTCCTGTGAATTCCATAAAGCAGCCCCCCTCTGCTTGTACTGTACACCTCACTGCTCTCTGGCTCCGGCTCTGATAACAGACCTGGCCATCACTCCCTCAGGTTATGGTTGTTGTTTTTTTTTTTATTATTATATATATATTTTTTTAGGAGACATGATTGAGTGGAGCCAAGCGCTGTGGTTTTTGGCTCACCTTGCCTTCGGTTAGGTGACACATTAGACCGCACATCAAGGTGAGAGGCTGAGCTGGATGAGTCACAGTGATGGAGAAAAAAACCCACAAAACTCTCCCTACACAACTGACAACAAAGAAGCTGCTCTCCTTGTGCTCGAGTCTGGAACGCAGAGAAATTTCACACAGAAAAGTGAAACTCTATGCTGATGAATAACTGTTTATTGTACGTGTCTCTGTGTTCCATTGAGGCTGATACAGACTTTCTAAAAGTCTGATATTTCCTTTTCTCTTTAAACAAAAACTGAATTTTTGATGGAGTCGCCCTAAATTCGGTTTGAAATTTTTACTCCTTGTAGATAAAAAAAACTAGTGAAGAGCTAAAAAAAAAAAATAAAAAAGTGCACTGACAGAATCATTCTGACCACAAGCACAACGGTCAGTCAGATATATATTTGGTCAAACAGCTAAAACAACCTGCTCTAAATATCACATACAGAGACCTAGAAACGACATACATGGACGGTTAACTTCATAAAGTTTTCAAAAAAGAAGACAGACACATTCTCGCTCTGCAGATGAAAGAGTTTGCATCCCGTGCTTTACTTTGGTATTTTGTATTTTTTGCATTTTACTTTAATTGGTTTATATTTTTGCATGCAGACGATGTATTTTACGGATTCACAGTTGATACTGTGAATATGCCATCAAACAGACAGACTCTAGATGCCTCTTCCATCATGTCAAACGTCTTTGACATTTGGGGATACTTTGGAAACTTTGAGGTCTGCACTTGAATTCAAAATGTTCTTTTTTGGATTTGTTCTGTGGATTTAAACAAGGTTTGGATGCACAACGTAAGTCTGTTTGTTATGAGGAAAAGCTAGAAGTGGAGGAGTACATCATTTGACTAAAATGTATATTTTCCACATAACAGGTCAATAACGGGCACTTTTCAGACCTGAGGCTACAATCAGGAACGACCTATCCTACACTAGAAGTTTCTTAAAGTTCCTAACTAACAGTTTCCTTCTCAGATCTTTTCATAAAGCTGCTGACAAACGCGAGCAACAAAGAGAACTCCTGAGACAGGAGAGGGAGTGAAGTCGACCCCACTGCTACGGATGACATTGGGCTTCCACAGAGAATGATGTGTGATAGGTGACTAAGTCTGTGAATAAAACACATCAAAATAAGGAACACATTACAGTAAAATAAATTTAGTTGGGGGTCCAGGGGTAAAAGTAGAAATACCACACAATAAAATAATCAACTACAAGTACAGACCTGCACTGAAGATGTGCTTTGGAGTAAGCAGGCATAAGAGGAAAATATATTTAGGTATTAAAAGTACAAGCAAAAAAGCTCATTGTGACTGTGATACGATTGTGTTTATGTTGCTGAAGTAAGCAGCATTTTCAAATGACCTTGTTTTGTCTGACCAACAGTAAATATGATTCAGTTCAGTGTCATTTAAAACAAAGAGCTTAACTTTGTAAGGATAAAACTCTTCAAGTTTGGCAACTTAATCATTTATTAGAAGTTTATCATTTCCATTGTTGCTGTTATACTTTGAAGTTCTCTGATTGATGAAAGACACAAAACCCAACTCACCTTCGTCTGCAGAGCTGTTGTCATTAAAACCATTATGTTACAGCGACGGTCAGCCAAACAGACTGACTTCTGTATCAGTGTGTCTGGGTTTTGATATGTTACCGGTGGGACAGCACTGCCACTATGAGGTCAAACTAGACACTACAACACTGGCGTCAATAACTCTCCTCCAGCACACTTTGGTCATCACTTCTACTCAGGTATCTAGCAACTAAGTGTATCTTCTAACAGAAACTTTGCCACCAGCGCAGTGTGATATGCAAACAATCTGAGGAAAGTGGGGGCATCAACATACAACGAAAACCTCTTCATCACTTCATATGTACAAAACGCTGACACAGTGAACTGAGGCGCTTTACTGGGTGTGAGCAGGTCTTTACGACTCCAGGACTCCTCAGGACTCCTCAGGACTTCTAACGTCTCTGAGGGGCTCCTGTCAGCACTAAAAGGCTCAGAGTGAATTCCTACAAAAACTGTGGAGTTTTACACTCAGAACTAACGTGCCCCTTAGTTTTAAGAGTTTCTCCAACTTTATTCCATGAGGAGCTACTTTTCAGCCTCAGGGCGTTTTGTGAATTCGGCCCCAGGACTGTACTTCTCCATAGACCCACAGTTAAAGTTGTGCAACTTTATTTGTATCAAAATGATGATGAGCTCCAGGTAGCGTTTATTTGGGGAGTTTCTGTGCATCAGGCAAACTGAGGCTCCAACTGCTGCTTTAACACACTGGACACTGAGAGGATGTGAGAGGAGGAAGTCTGAAGCACATCTTTAATTCAAGCCCTTAGTAAGATGTAGCAGCGAATGTGTTGACAGACAGCAGGTCTTCTTCAGAGCGCCATGAACCAGTGGCAGGCAGGACTTCTAATTAGCTGACACCCAGGCAGCTAATGACTGCATCTCTGCAGAGCAGCATTCTTCTTGGTGGCAGTAGCATAACTGTTACCAGCAACTATTTGTGTGCGCTGTCACATTCTGGAGATTTAATTCAACGGGTTTGAAAAGTTTATTCTTAAGCTGCTGCCAGTTACATCTGCAGAATATGTTTTCTCCTATGAAGTCACTAGGATCTCTATAAATACTGTCATTTTTACGATGTAATTACGGCTGATTTCCTGCATGTTTGGTCCAAGGAGAAGTATATTTGCCATGTCTGACAGGAGGTTGAACCCCAGGAACCCCAAACCCCACCTGCAAGTATGAAAGGCAAAAAAAGCCAAAATGACTAAATTTAAATGAAAATCACCATTCATTTAAGCTAGAAACTGTAAAAACAGAGAGAATTTCCTTTTCTGTTGAAAAATATAACCAAATCTGAACTTTAAAGAAGAAGGAGCGTTATCATTAATACCATCTGTTGTCCGACTGTACAACCTCAGCATCACTGGCTGATGTAAACATAAACCAGACTTGTGTCATCAGCATCAACATGGTAAAATCTGCACAACAATTCTTTGCACTGCTCGCATCTTGCACTTTTACTTCTACTGTATTTATTCTTAATACTGTATTTATTCATTTTCCATCCTTGTATATATTGTACACATTATTATTGTTTTTATTTTTATGTATATGTTTAGTGCTAGTGCTAGTAACAATGGAAACTTCCCCTGCTGTGGGGAGCAATAAAGAATTATCTTATCTTTTCTTAAACTGCAGTATTTTATCAATATCACTTCTTTCTACACGTCTCGTTTAAAAATCCACCAAAAAAAACAAAACCAGTTTGTCCAACCAGATACCCAGCACCATGATCATTCAGTAAGAACAATCCTCCTCTTGCTCTTGTTTTGGTCTCCACCACTTCCTGATACAGATATTTGATTATTTAGTGGCTAAATGCTCCATAAGGAGAAGCTGGTGTACCCTGGCTAGTCTCTGGGGTTCCCTGTGATAAACTGCCTGCTGTAACACTTCCACACAAACTGCTGAAGTCATCTGGGGAAGACGAGGTTTCAGACACCGACAACTAAACTATTTGGATTTTTTGGCTCCAAAACAGAAACAAATGTTTACGAATGGTGCAGGATTTAAAACATCCTGTTTGAACCATGCTCACCATTTAAACCGATGATCTTGTTGTTGGTGGCTTCATTGCTTTTAAGCAGCTGTATTTACCTCACAGTGGCATTAGTCTGGGGTGACTAACTCCCAGTAATACCAATAAACCATTTAAATGAAGTCAACATGAGGGCACAGATCACTTCAATAAAAGAATTAAAACTTCACTTTTCCCCTTAAAAACTGCACCAATACAAACATCTGACTGAACAACAGACGTGTTAAATGCCATTAATATCACCAACAGCTGTCTTCCATCCTTGAGCTTCTCACCTTAAACTTGTTGCCGACGCTGATGAAGCTGAGCTTTCCAGCCTTCTGCTTGACGTCTTTGCTGTTGTTGGAGTTTTCAAACAGTTCGCGAATAAAGCGGTCCTTGGACTCACTGACCAGACACGCCAGAGACATGTGCAGAGCGTCGTTGTTCTTCTCCACAAACTTGGTCTGAGAGAGGAACATTTTCAAACAGAATCAGGAACATGTTGTCCAACTCCTGCAATGCACGCTCTGATGTGTTTTAGTGTCTATGTGGCACACAATTCCAATTTAAAAATCCTATTACTTTCATGTCCCTGCTCCATCTGCCCACCATACAGCTGAAGAATGATATTCAGAGCGACAAATCTCAGAATATAGAAGCTATATAAAACAGACAGTGCAACATGGGTGTTTCTGTGTGATTTTTATGATTCATTTAAAATCTCCTCACAGCTACGTTGGGTCTATTTCTCAGAATCTAATCTAGTCTGAATGGTCACTTGCTTTCATGTTAAAAAGCTGTGGTCAGGAGTGTTTTTTCTACAGTCCAGTGATCAAAGAAAAAGAAATAAATTATTTTTGCGTGACATTAATTTCAAAGATGGCTGCAGGAAAGCAGAGTGTGTTTCGTGGACGCACCGTCTCGTAGCACACGGCTCCTGCAAAGTGTCTGATAATGAATCCTTCATCGTCCCTCACGTTCCTGTGGACGGCCAGCTTAGACTTCCTGGGAACCTGAGGGACACACACACACACACACACACACAAACAGACAATCACATGTGTGAACACGTGTGGGTGCACACACACACACACACACACACACACACAATCAAACCCTTAGACTCAGCAGAGTTCCTGCATATTTTCCATTTACAATGGCAAACTAATTCCAGGTCCTGTCAATCACTCACTGCTGGAAATGAAGATTAGGATTCAGTGGCGGTAATTTAACTGTCAGCTACACCACATCACTCACAGACCAAACGTTATTTTTAACTGAAACTTACTGGATTGGCATCAATGTAAAGAAATGACAATCAGAGAGTGACCACCTTTTGCGGCACCTCTTTATGGAGGAAATCTGTCATAAAATAATTTGGGAGATCTAATGTTGTCCAGCACAGCAGCTTTGCCATTAATTCCTCTTTGAAGGAGCTTCTACATTTTTAGCCGTTGTTGATGACAGAAAAGGTCATGATTGTACTTATAGCTAAGGTCATACACGGTGGGTTTTTTAATGTGTAATGCTGGATATTTACATGTGCAACAACAATAACTGTACCTATAAATATGGTTGAATAATGTTGACATACAAATAATCCGGTTGATTAATTAATAATGAAATTATTAGTCAAGTTTTCTTCTATAACTTTAGGTGGAAAACATCTTTCAAAAATGTTCAGAATTATCAAGTGTAGTTTGTCTTTTTTAATGTAACTGTATATATCAAACTTAAAAATGTGACAGATATTTAATGTTAAAAACCTGTAAAATTAATGGGTTTTCCTTTGCAAAACTGTAAAACTCTGGTTATCATGAAATGCTTTTATATAATTATAATTGCAATTACAATAATAAACAGTCGTAAACATTAACTTTACATAAAATTCTTGTATATTTAATTGATTTTATATTAATTTTATTGTACATTATACATGTAAATTCACAGTCTGTTACTATGATGTTGATATTTTTGTGTATTATGAAAATGCTGAAAAATTTTATCAAAGAACTAATATATTAATGTGATAATTTTTTTTTATTATTCTTATATTTTAAATACAGATTTTTCTTTTTTTTTTTTCTTTGAGTGTTGTGGGCGGCTGTGATGATGTACTCGACTGTATTACATTTAAAAGTATTCCCAATAGTTCATCATCCTCCACAGGGATAAAATTATGTAAAGTATGAAAAACTAAAGCCTCATTGACTTGAATAGTTGTCAAATTCCAAATATGTCCTGATTCCAGCCTCTCAAATAAGCTCTGCTGCTTGTTTTAGTCACATATCGCAGTGAAAGAAGCATGTTTCAGTTTTGGACTGCTGGTTGGAGAATATTCACGATTTCATGAAGTGAGTCGGGCTGTGGGAGGCAGCGCTGGGCTTCCTGACATTCACTGATTAACAGCTATTTGGCAGAACAAGAACATTTGGAGAAGGTCTGATATTTTTATTGTCTTATCTGTTTGTTCTTTTTTATCATTTTGCTTTTATCGTTTCTTTGTGTCTTATTAGCAGCTTGCACTTCAAGCACTTCAAACTGCATAAACCTGTGTGAATGCTGCTATAAAAATGATAGAAAGTTTGACTGATTGAATGAAACCAGGAGTTCATAACCTGAGAAACATACAGAGGAGGTGGAAGCACATTTTCAGTGCTGCCTGCAGTCTGCAGTCTCTCGGGCTGCGTTTCAGCCCACTCTGTATGTAGCCTGAGAGGTAACACCCAGGGCACAAACAGGTTTGCAAATCGCTTGGTGCTGCTTGTTTGCAAGCGTAGTGGTAAATAAAGGAAACTGACAGGGGCTTCTCAACTTTTTCATCAGCTCCTTTCTTCTCTCATCTGGTTTTTGAAGCCGAACCGTGAGCTACAACTATTTACAGAGATTCTACTGAGTAAATTAAAAAAACAGAAAAAAGCTTCTGTCCAATGAATCGATACAGTTTTAAGAGACATTAAGAAAGGTGGGTCTCTACAAAAACAGGACCAGGCATTCAAAAGGCTTCTTTTCATCTGACTCCTGAGTCACTTACAGTCAGGCGGAAATGGTCCTTGTGTTTGTTGTGAACAGTGTCGGTAAAGTGCTGGTCGCTGGGTTGAGGTAGACGATTCTCTTCGTCCAGGATGTCCAGGATGCCGACCAACTTCGCCTCCACCAGGTCTGCGGACAAAGTGTGAGAAGCATGAGGAAAAGATACGTGGCCTCCTAATGACGCTGCTCACAGATCACCTGAGGCTACTGGGCAACGCGACCGATTAAATCAAGGCGGGGTGATGTAGACGATTAAAACACTAAATTAAAGTTTAATCAGATGGAAAGAGGCGTGGAGATCATAACAGCTTCTCCTTGACCTGACCTGACTGGGAAGGTGGTAGGGAACGTGGACCTAATTCACTTAATTGTAATTATTATTATTATTGCTATTATTGTATTATTACAGTTTAGTGCACTTGGAGGATGACAGGGTGGTTTATTTTATTAATATGGTGGCAGGAAATGTCATTTGAAAGTTCAGCCGGTTTGATATATAAAAGTCCTGTGGTTTTATCTTTAAAACTACCAGGTGAAGAAAACCTTCAGTGGATGAGCTGTGGAGGAGCAGCAGCTCAACTTGAGGACACAATGAGCATTTGGCGTCTGCTTGGTGGAGCTTACGATAACAACCAGTACCTTTAATATCAGCTTGTACGACTACTTTTGGTCCATCGGCTACAAAAACATGATACAGATTTGTCAAACGTGGAGGAATTAAGTCTGAAGGACCCTTTAGACTGGCGACTCATGCTTACATAGACATACAGTAATTGTACACTTCAGAGCGCCAACATTATGACCGAACCACTGAGGCCTGGACTCTGCAGGACCTCTACTAGAGCTTCTGTATTGTTCCCAACACAAGCATTGGAAACTGAGAGGCTATAAAACAGAGAATAAATGTTTATGAGAGTCACAAAACTCTGCAATTCATATTTGATCCAATCCAGATGAGCCATATGTTAATCTTGTTTATCCATTCATGCCAGTAGAAGTCTCAGACATAAACGCTGTCTAATAACTCAACTGAAAAAAGGAGTTCTACTTGAAATATTCATGGACTTAAGTGTCAGAAAAACCCATCTGCAGTCCACCTGCATCTAAAGGATGACAGGACACATTCTGGACAGAGGATGCAGATCATTTTAAAGAGGAGTTAAGGAGCTGATCTATGTTAAACTGGAGCAGTGTCTATGACAACACTTATCAGATACTTATAATGCAGTCCTGACATCCTTCCTGAGACAGTTTCACCAGCATTAACATCTGAAACATGCGAATCTTAAGTCATTACCAGGTCGTGTGCATTGGGGGGTTAGAACTGAGGATGCCTCTTGGTTGAGAGGTGGAACATCTTCAAGAGCAAAAAAGAGAAGTCGAGCCTTCTACTGAAGCACGTATGATTTTGATAGAGGGATTCGTGGAGCTGAATATATCTGGGTATTTCACCTACTTGGAACTGCACCCAAACTGGAACCAAATAAATAAATAAATATGAACACTTACAGAAGTCTCTTTTCATCTACCGCTGCAATTAAAAAAACGCCCACATTGCATTTAGCTTTTCAGATCCTCCAATTTCATCAGTTTGTCATTTCTCTCTACCCTCATTTTTATTTCCCTCTGTTCCTGCGTTAAAAAAAAAACCATGAGTAAGTAAAATGTAATGCGTCTGATCCCTAATTAAGCATAACTTTGAAAGATAAACCTTTAATGTTTTATAAAACATGGGATCCTCTACAAAAAAAAAACGATCTCAAACCACAGAAATCTGAATAAAAAGTTGTGAGCGTATCTGATCTTGCTTTGCTCATTTTGTGGGTTTTGGACTAAGGTGCTCTGCATTCTTGTTTATGTATGGCTGTAAATCACACTGACGTAATTAAAAAAAAAAAAAGATGAGGGTCACAGTGACCTGACAAACAATGCTGTAAAGGAAATGCTAAAAAAATAAAAAATAAATAAAATGTCAGAGTTACAATGCCCATATTTTACACATTTAAAGGTTAATAAATTATTTTGAGGGAGTCTACTCTAATATATTTACATGCTTTAATGTTCAAAATGACATTATTTTTCTCATACTGTAAGGCACGTCGTCTCTTTTTTAACTTCTGTCACATGTACCCCTTTTCCACCGAGCTGGTTCCAGTGCTAGTTCAGAGTCAGAGCCTGACTTGGCACCAGTTCTTTGTGTTTCTTTCTCCAGGTTCTCAAAACTGGTGCTTAGCAAACACCAACTCTTTGCAGGGCCAGAGCTAAGAACCGAGTACGTCAGGGGCTGGGGGCGGAGTTATCGTGACCAACGAGACCGATGGAAACACACAATGGGACACGCAAGCGGTGATTTGTGTTGTTTTTCAGCAGGACGTCTCTGGTCCGATCGCAGATGTGTTGGAATGAATCCCGGGACACACAGAAGTTTTGCACAAACTGTTGCGCGCTGAAATCCAGTACAATTGTGTCCCACCAGTAGAACCCCAGTGGTGGAAAACAGTACTTTTATAACTTGAGTGTACTGCGGTATTTACGCTTACAAATGTGGTCTTCTCATGAAAAATGGAGTGCATCTACATGCACTGTTCCGCTCATGAGGAAAAAATCACTCAGTTTCAATTTGGACAAATCTGACATAAGAACGCCCTGATTTACTCTTTTTAAAGTAATTGTTGGTCACACACCGGTCTGAGCAACGCAGCAACCAAAAGCAGCTAGCGCAACCTGCAATGTGGGGTGTTGAGGGAACGTCAGTAAATTATAGGGTCTATCGATAAGAAAAGTCATATGTTTTGCCTGTGACAAGGTGAGAGGTGCAATCATGTAAGAAAGTTGGTCGCACCAGTGAAAAAGTTCGTCTGGAGTCCTGTGTGGGCTTCTGTACAGCATGAGTGTTGTTCGGTAAATGCCTACGTATGCAGTGACGTATGGCGTGGCTCTAACTTGGTTCCTTACCAATGGAGAAGCAAACAAGTTCTTAGGAGGTACAAGATTTGAACCAACAAAGCTCTGGAACTAGCACCAGCAACCAACTAGCACCTGGCTCTTCTTGGTGGAAAAGGGGTATTTAAGGTCTCCCTCCTGATAAGCTGGGTGTGCTCTGATTGGTCAGCTGACCCGACAAAAGTGAGGTAACTCCCTGTTACATACACTAACATCAGCTCTATAAGTACAAGCAGGCAGGTGTAGCTCTAACAGAAGCAGTTCCAGTGAATAAATATAGAGCAGACTGTGAGGAAGTTCTTTGCTTGACACCAAAGTAGCTGCTAGCCAGGCATTATGCAAACATTCTACACAGTGATGTAGAAATGTAACAGAAGTCTACTTTCAAGGTGATGCATTTATGGCAGCTAAGGAGCAGGGTTTTCTGTGGGAAAGAATAACTCTTGTTGGCATGGACGTTGGACTTTCAAAGTTTGCAGATCATTTATATGCAAAAAAAAGCAGCTATATAACACACTGAGGGACGGAGAAAAAACAAAAAAGCAGAATATGGGCTCTTCAAAACAAAAAAAACAACAACCAAACACTGACAAAACACAGTGCCGAGGAGGAAGTTATGCAGGATGCCTGAATGATTCAGAGGATGACGTGAGGTATTATTGAGAAGATATGATTACCTACGCATGTTAGAACAAACACAGTCTTTCTGAGTAATGTTTCCTGACATGAATTGACAGAGCAGAGGCTGTTTGATACAGACTCCTACTCACAAACTCACTCCATTCTACTAAGCAAGGTCAGTGGAGGCCTGAGCACAGCTGAGCAGCAGGCAGATTCTCTCCTGAAAAACCCCAGGAGACATCCTTCATCTACCCCTCCATCCCTCTGCCTGCTCTCAGTCGCTGGAAACAATATAAACACAATCTGGAATAAAACTAAATTAGACGACTGGCCTGTGCCTGCATGCATTAATGACAAAATGAATGAATGCATGAGCAAGACTTTAAAATGCTTAAAGAAGCTGCCCCGGACGTCAACAAAGTTGTTTAGTGATTTGTTTAATGATAGTTTCCACTAGTTTCCAAGTGTTCATTTCTACTTTTTCTTGCATCCTTTAATAGATCTGCTCTTTGTACGGTTGTAATTTTCTGCTACATCAAGGGGCATTTTTATGTTCTCTGACTTTTGTGCGAACAAAGAGATGCTGCTGCTTTTACAACACGCAACAGGAATCCAAACAAACAAACACATTTCAGTAATCTCCAAGCCGATGAACAGAGCTCATTGTAAACAGTGTGCAGTGGTCCAGCTCCCTCCAGCTGACTCCGCTGTAGTTAAGCATCTAATATTGATGCTATTTCACAGAACCGGACATCAGCAAAAAAAAAAAAAAAAAAAAAGCATAATTAACCTCCCTTCACCTCTAATCACCTCACATCTATCTCCCTCCCCATTCCCGGACTAATGAAGACACATTTCAGTCAGGACAGGAGTTCACATTCTCTGGGCTCCGTCATTCTGCCTCTTCACTTTGTTCGTGCAGGAAGCAGCCCAGAAGGCTCAGGGGTCAAACTGTGGAGAGGCAGCTCTCGTGAAACCGAGGGCGAGCAGCCAGCAGCGCATTAAAGCCAATAATGAGTAGCATGCTGCCGCTCGTAAATACAACCCAGTGTTGCCTCTGCCCGAATGGCACAAGAAGAATGTATGTGCACAAACCGTGAACGTGAAAAATACAAACGCTGTCAAGTACAAACAGCAGCAGCTGCAAATAAAGACTGAAGAAATGTTTGTCTGAAGCAGCAGGAGAAATTATGTGATACATACACGTATCTATATTTTACGACAAGCAGAAATAAATCTCGTATTGTCCATGACATCCTGATTTAAATCTCAAGTCAAGGCCATAAAGTGTCAAGTCAACAAGATCAGATAGGAAAATTGACAGTAAAGCTTCACGAGAAGTTGCACATCACGTTCCAGACAAGTTCTAGAAGAAAGAGTTCAAGGTTAAAACAGTCTGACATCAACACAGGGCAATTACAAATATGTACAAGTTCAAGTCAAGAAAGAAAAAGCCACAAGCAAAGCACCAAGTCATCAACAGGTTTCAAATAAAAACAGAAAGTTTCATGTCCTGAGTAAAGAACTACAACCAGAAAGGAAAGTCTTAAGACATGTCTCAGTTTGGGAACTACAAGCTCAAGTCCATACAAGAAACTCACAAAATATTACCCAATCTAATCAAGTCCCAAGTAAAAACTGACAAGAGTCAAGTCACAATATAAAGTACAAGTCACAATAAGGAAGTCACATTAACATCTTTAACCACCGAGTCAAATCCAAATTTAAAGCTTTCAACTCTGAAGTCAACTCCTAAGTAAGGACTATGGCTGGGCCATATCATACCGTGCACGGTAATACCGGTGTAATGTTAGGGGATGATATGAAATTGAAGTATTGGGTAGTGGTGGGTGGTAGGTGAATATTTGGATCTCAAAATTGCTATCCGGACACCACCACGACAACCGAATACGCCGATATTCCACCACCCACTGCTACTCAATGTTTTTGGCCATATCACCCTGCCCTAGTAAGGACTAGTAGGTAATTCCAAGTTAATTCTGAAGTCAAAATCCACCAGTTCTAAGCCAAGTCCTAAATCAAAGACCAAGACCAAAAAAGTGCCAAGTCATCACAGTAAGGTCAAGTCTCAAGTTAAGATAGGAAACCTTAAAGTAAAGCTCAGAACGAAAACCTTCAAGCCCCACAGCATTTCACAGTTTGAGACCTAGAGGTTCTAAATGACAACATTGGCATGGCAAGTCTGAAGTCAAGACCTTGAGTTCCGCATCAAAGCCCCAGGTCAAGACCTAAAACTGTAAATTCAACACAGACAGGTTACTGGTCCAGTCTCAAGTTAAAATGGTAAAGTCGAAAGTTAAGTTCCAACTTAAAAACCCTCAAGTCCCACATCACAGCCCAGGTTGAGTCCAAAAGGTTCAGGATCTACAAAGTCCCAAATCAAGACAGGAAAGCCACAAGTGAAGCACCCAGTCCACATCAATAAGTACCAAATAAAAACAGAAAGTTAGAGGTTACAAGTCACGACAGGGAAGCTACAAATAAAGTCACATGAAGACCTTTAACCTTCGAATCAAATCCCAAGTCAATGATTCAAGTCCCAATGAGCACACATCAGTTCTAAGGTAACTCCAAAGTCAAAACCTTCTAGTTCCAAGTCATGTCCTAAGTCAAGACTTAAGTCAACACAAGAAACTTATAAGTCAAGTCCCAAGTTCAGATAGGGTAGCTGAAAGTAAAGTGCAATGCAAAACCTTCGTAGGTCAAGACCAAATGGTTTTTTAGGAAGGAAACCGCATTTTTTTAATATATATATATATTTTGTTTGTTTGTTTGTTTTTGCTTTATTAAAGGACCTTCAAATTCACAAAATTAAATCTAAAGCTTAATATTAAAATGCATACACAAGAGGGCACAGAATGCACACGGCACTGTAGCAAGAGAACCACAAAGCAAATGTCACTTATTCCCAACAGACCAGATTCTCCGTTCCGTTGAAAAACAATCAACAGCTCTGCAAATTCCATCTATGTGTACATGCAGGCCACATCGCGTAGTGAATACCACAGGGAGAGGAACTGCATGTGCTGAAAGTTTTTTAGAAAGCACGGTGTGTTCTGCACAGTTATACAAATAAATAAATAAACAAACATTCAGCACCTTCGCAGAGGAACACTCTGAACTCAACGGCACAAAGACGAAAGATGAGCAACTTCAGCTGCTCTGTGTGTGCAGAATGATGAGCGGCGCCTTCATACCTATGCAGTCTTGATTGTCGACATAGTGAACCTCGTTGACTCCGAGCCCCTCCCTCTGGTACAGCTCTTGCTCCTGGAATGCAGATATTTCTAATGAGAAACCATAACGATATTCACAGCATGTACAGCATTCGTCTAATGAGAACGGGGACGGCTTCAGATCTGCCTGGAGGGCATGCTAGTTCCCTAACAAAAGGCACTTGGGCCCGGCTTTCTGCTATTACACTTTGTATGAATGAGCATCTAAAGGTTACGGCTTTCATGCTGGATGCTGCTAACAGATGTTTGGGGGCTGCAAGTCTGTACACGATGAGTATTAAGGTAAAATGGCATGTCGAACATTTTGAAAAGAGACAGCGGCGTTACAAAATGATGAAAGTCAAACATAGTCCAAAGTAGTTTGTGTTGCCCTTTTCTGAGGTTCAGTTTTCAATTTTGCAGACGGATCAGCTGTTAAGATTGTAGTACTGATCCGAACCTTGGTTTCTCCAACTAGACAACAATCACACAGCCATTACACGACAGTCTGGCATACGAGACCTCAGGGTCGTCAGCTGAACAGAATTTCTTTCACAATTTCTTTTGTCAGAAACACAGCTCCAAACGATAATAAACCAATTATGGAGGCTGCGGCTTTCCAAGGTCGGCAAATGCTCGGCGTTGGCGGAGGTTTGAGGACTCGAGTTCCTTCTAGTTCATTATGCAATGACCTGCAGTCACAAAAAAATGATATATGGAGCATCATTATTTTCCAAAATAGAAATAGTAGTGTTTAGGTGACTTGGACAGCGTCAGTTTTCACGTCAGCTGTTGGTAATGGCTGTTTGGGTGCAGAAGAAGTCTGCAAATTGAGAGTTTCATCTGAAAAGACAAAGTTAGAGGAGGCAAAAAAAAAAAAAAAAGGAGAGAGAAACTGGTAACTTCTTCTCCAAAATAAGTTTACAAAATCCAGCATGAAACTTTCTACCTCATAATTCTGAACATGTTTGTTGTCTTAAAGTTTAAAGGATGCAATCATCTGGGATTTCCTGACATAAACAGCAATCAACCTGAAGCATATGTTTATATAAAATAGAAAAGCCGGGCTTAGAATTGAAAATGTTAAAAGTTGGGGCTCAAAAATGAGAAACCCACAATTTACTTGCATCAAGAAAAGCACTTAAATCAGACTATAAATCCTGAGCCATTCAAAGATGTTTGCTTTGATTTGCTGGTGTTTACTGATGGATCTGAGGCAGCTGATTTTCACTGCTGCAGAATGCTCGGAGGGAAACCTGCTGAATGGCAGCTCTCACCTCTTTAAGGATGCGCTCATTGAAGAACTGCTGCAGTTTCTCGTTACAGTAGTTGATGCAGAATTGCTCGAAGCTGTTGTGTTCAAAGTACTCTGTAAAGCAGAAGAAGCAGCAGCAGACAGTCAGTTGAAGATGCTGCGTCTGACAAGTGACACTGTTTTACATAAATCATGCACCGTGTAATCTGTTCATTGATGACTGTACAATACAGACGTCAGAGCAAGATAAACTGTGAAGTCGGCAGTGTGTCCTTACCATTGAACATTTACCGCACTCGCAATTTCACAAGATGATTTCTGAAGCAATGCTCACTGGTGCAAGATTCCAGTGGGACTTTAAAATATCTATTTCTTCTGTCTTTCTGTCAACTTAGATGAGTCTCTTTTTCCCTGAACTCCTTAAGACATCTCATAGAAAAATCTTTTACTTCATTTTTCAGACATATTTTTGCCAAATGGATTTTCCCATATACTTGGAAACAATGCAATTTGTAAGTTATTAAAATCAGACTGAACAATGACCCTCCATGCATGGCTTTTACCTTTGACATGGCATTTTTATAGTGATAAGGGGTTTTAGGGAATACTGACCAAAGCCAGCGATGTCCAGGACGCCGATGAAGTTGGCGGAGGAGTCGAAGGGGAAGCACTGGTTGACCCTGGTCACCACGTGGTCGAACAGGCGGCTGTACACGGCCTTCGCCAAGGCGTCCCGAGCGTTGTTGGCCTGCTCGACTTTGAGCGGCACTCTGGCAAAGACACACAAAAATAATGGTTTAAAATACTGTACAGTGTAAAAGTGATTCAGAGATTAAAAACTGCATTTCTTCACTACACAACAAAAAAAAAAGTTTATTTATGATGGCTTTTGAAACATCCAAGGACACCTTACAATACTTCAAATACAACAAAACAAGGACAAATTAAAGAAGAGAGTTCGGTTTCATACAAAGTAACACCATAAAGTTTGTGTTTCAGTGAAGCTCCTGATCCTGCACAGTGGCAGCCAGCCTTCATGTTTACCAGCCAACCAGCGTCTCAATGCAAAGCAGGATGATTTGTGTTCCTTCCAGTTCATCAGAATGATTCCCTTTGCAGAGACACATCCTAGCATGAAGGAAATGAACATACCACTTTAAATTTCTGACACAGCAGACAAGCTACTGGGCAAACCAGATTTTAAATTGACATTTCTGGGCACTCACACAACAAGTGTAACACAGAACGCACTGCTGCTCCCACAATCACACCAGCACTGGTCAAGATAATTGTTTTAAACTCCTCAAAGGTCTGCTGGGAGAGCTTTAAGCTCTGCTACCATTTTACACCGAATTATCTCAAATGTAATTTATATGTGGGGGACTAAACCAATGTGGACTTTTTATAGACTGAACAATTAAGTCAATAGTTTACCTGCAAAGGACACTTTCTGGAACTACTAGTTGTTACAGATGCACTTTGTCAGTCCCTAAATGAATTAAGGTTCGATATCCAGACCTCAGGGACACACAGACACTTCTTATTAAGCAGATTTTTCTCTGACCTCAGCCTCCTCCTTATTGGTTTCTTTCCTAATGTGTGCAACAACAAATTTATGGTTACGCTGCTGGTGAACAGATTGAGCTAATTGCCCAAAATAATATTAATTGTAAACATAAATCGGTCACTTGAGGATGAAGTAGGTCCACTAATTCACTTGCAGACCAAGACTCAGTTAAAACGAACTGGGCTTGCCTGACTTTCCAAGCAGATAATTGTGTTATTGACAGCTGGGAAAAGAGAGATTGGGTGTGAGGTAGCGGCCATAAAATGGTGACAGAAACCATAACCGGCAGCGAGCTCTGTGGAGGTATTGTAATTGCTTCTGACTGTGTGCAGGCGTGTGGTTCAATAGCGGCAGACAAAAGGAGTGACCCGATCGTGGGGGCTAGATAAAATGCACCGCATTAATCTGCTGCGAGGCTGAAGTTTCTGAACAGGCTTTACCTCTGGACTTTACTTCAGCTCGACTGCAGTGCACTCAAGGACACACCGGGAAATAACTCCGCACGAGTGGCACTCGGAGACTCCCAAAGCTCCGAATAATGACTTCCAAAATCCACCTCCCCTCTCGCCTCCCCCTCTCTTGGCGACAAATTATCTTTTCCGCGCATACCTTTTTAAGCCACATGCGATATCACAGGGAATAGTAACGTCTGATCCCTATAGGTTCCTCGTGGTATCTTTCCAACCCATTTTGCTGTGATGAGACGACCCACTGTGCCAAGGGCAGCCCCCCTACAGCAGCAATCTGTAACTGACTTCAGCATCTACACTCTGTTTGCATCCCCATTAGGATTCACAATGTACTGTACAGTATATATATACGGTGCTGTGCGAAACCCTACATGTTTAGATTCGTCTCCATCACCAGCACCACCAGGGAAATGTTGGATCACTCCTGAATTTATTCTGCAGGATGAGCATAAACAAAGAGCCAAAGTCATAAAACTACCTTCAGTTACAAGAAGTCCTGCAGCAGACGATCTGACCCCCACAGAGTTCTCAGGTTCTCCAAGACGCTCGGAACAACCTACCTGCCAAGCATCTTGAAAAACTGAAGAGCACTGGTGGTGCGTTAAAGGTAAAGGTTCCTCACAGTAAATATTGATTTGTCTTAGCTTCCTCCTCTTAACTGCACTTTGAATCAAAACTATTCACAGCATATTTTGAAAGCGTCCTCACTTTACTTTTAGTGCCTCGAACCTTTGCCCACAATCACACATACGTATATTTCCTATTTATATTCAAGTGTGTGTATATATTTTCAAGTGTAGATGCACACAGCGGTGTTTACCTGACACCTACTTTCAGTCAAGTGAATAAAGATGTAACATTTCAGAGTTCAATGTTCCATCAATAGAATAAATGATTGTGTAAGTAAGGAGGGCAAATAAGGAGAACCATCAGGTTTACTAAATTCAACCTGGTGTTTGAAATGTCTTTTATTCAGCCTTGACTTCTTGTCCCCTACATTCTTGTTTTTATACGTACCCTATAGTCTTGTTTTTATCTGTACTTTGAATATTTATTCTGTTTTTATATTTCTTTTTCCAGCTGCGCGTCCTGGTTCGACATCTTATTTAAACTCCAGAGAACATCATCTTTTCTGTCGAAAACAAGCACCACTTTTTAGGGGCGCTGCCTATACTTTTTCCTGTTACCTTTTGCCTTTACGTCTGGAAAAACATAGAAACTCACTCATAAATGCTTTGAATTACAATTTCCATATTCCATATTCTCAGCTTCTATTTGTCCTCTCTCCTCCTGTGACCTGGAAATTGTTTCCTCCTCCACGGTCATGGAGGATCTTCCAATTACTTAAAATGCATACCAGGGAGATGAAAAGAGAGGGCTAGGGTTAGAACACAGGCGCTCCTATGAGGTGGGGGGGGATCTTTAATCAGGTGGCTTCATGTATAAACGCTGCACCTTCACGGTTGTAAGCCTGATTTAACAGGTGTAAAGCATGCTGTAAGTTACCAATGTCGCTGAACAATGACCCTATGTAACGAATGATTTCTTATTTGGCAGCTTCGCTCACTTCATCCTCGCGTCACTTCCTTGTTGAGTGGAGAAAGACGAGTTAGTATAATGAACAGCCCCCATTAGGTACGAACGTAGTAAAAAAAAAGTAAAAAATGCAACCTGCAAGTTCATGTAAGGTTTTACATCCACGTTTTTAAATTCTCCATCAGTGATCTCTGCATTTTACACTCATTCTACAACATGAGAAAGTTTATTCTTGACCTTGGAAGCGGTTTAATTGAAAAATCCTCACTTAGGATCTGAACACCAGATTTTCTGTAGCTTTCAGCCGCATCTCACATCTGATTTGAATACCACAGTTGAAAGCTGCAGAAAATGTTTTTATCTATTACTTCAGCTGAGTTATCTTGCCAGACTTTGCAAATTAAGTGTGCAAAGGCATACTTATACACAAAGTGATTGGTGTTTCAGCATTATGTTTAAGAGGATCAAGTGGTAAAGATCAGACTGTATGTAAATATTCTTTGAGTTGTGGCTCTGAGCAACACAAGACACTTAAAGAACCAAAAAAAGCGTTGAAGCAAACAGGCAAAGTTACAACCGCAGGGCGGGCCTCGAAATCTGACTTATCGCCTATCAACAGGCCCGCAGCTCCTCAGCTTCACCCCTGCCCTCTCTGCACTACCTGCTATGTTTAATTCATGTGGACGGCTCCTCGGAGCTGGAGCACCGCGGCCAGAGGTTTTAATACTGCGGTGAGGCCCTCTCATTTAAAAACCAAGAGGTCTAAATGCCAGGGCAGCATAATGTCAGAACACTAATCGTACAAGCAGCCTAATATGTATTCCCTATGAGCCTCTGCACTGAGAATGTTTTTTTTTTCTCCTTCTCTCTTAGAGTAATTACTGATGTCGCCTTGTGTAGAAAGTGCGCTCTCTGAAGACGCCTGCTGGTCTGCAGCTGCTCCTTGGCTCTGTACTCAAAGACACCACATGGGAAAAAAATGGATTTTAAATTGGACTTTTGAGCCATAAAAGAAGTGTCCTGATATGAAGCAGCAGAGAGATACTTTAGCTTTGCATTAATATATTCGGACTTCTGTTCTGCTACACTGCATTACACAGCATTAAACCACCACTCATTGCGACACATTACTGCTTATCCACAGGTTTCAGTTGAGAGAACACGAAGCCAGCGGAACTAGATAACCTATTTTTTTCTCTGTGTTTTGGTCCTTCAGACACGCTAAGTGGCCAATTTGACACACAAAAAACACAACTTTTGAAAACTCTGTCCAGAGTGGATGAATATGAAAATGACTAACTCACATTTTATCATGTACGAGAAAAAAGATCACTTTTGGAAAATAATGATACCTTTATTTTCACAGCACCTTTCTAAAACAGCATTTCAAGGAGCTGCATAAAACAAGACATTAAAATAGAAGCAGGCAAAACACCAAATATATAAAAGAACAAAAATAAAATAACCACAATGCACGCAATAATGGACAAATGGGTCACGGCATGGTAAAAATATATAAGGAAGTAAAATAGTAGTAATGTTTTAAAAGAAGATACTGATGTTGACAATCTGGGAGAGAATTTCACATTTTAGAAGCACGAACAGTCGGATGACTTCTGTTCACAAGTAGAAATTCAGGAACTGTTTCCTCCCAGAGGACCTGAAATAGCCATTAGTCTTATAAGGAGTTAAAAGACCACAAATGTAAGATGGGGCTTGGAAGTGTAAGGCTTTAAAAACAACAGTAAAACCTTACAAGGCAGCTGGCCGGTGAAGGCCGACATGAAGTAGAGTACTGGGGTTATAGCTACTGAAATGAGGTAAAAGCCCAACAGCGACATTTTGGATCAACTGAAGCCTACGAATGTTTCCTTCACTGATATAGAAGCAAAGTGTGTTACAGTAAATGATTCTGGAGGTGATGAATGTGCGGCTGACCTCCTGTCTGAGTCTGAAAATAAAAGAAAGGATTCGACACACGTAAGCTGAATGAAACAGGACGGTACGGCCTTCGTCACTTGAGCAACAAAACATAGACATGAATCAAAACCACTTCAGGATTTCAGGCCTCTTTAATTTGAGTGGCTAACAGGCTCAAATAAGACAAAATGAGAGCGTGATTAGAATGATTTCTGCTTTGGAGTCCTTGTGACTGAGGAAATTTCTGAGCATCCAGAATTTAATGTTAGCCAGGCAA